TTTTTACAGGGCAAAGAATAGGCTACAGAAAATCAAATATTAGCATATGGTAATAACTGCCAATATATACTGGTTTGATTGTAAAAATAAAATAATTTATTCAAAAAGAATAATGTCTGGGCCAGTAATTTAGCTCAGTGGTTCTGCCACCTGCTGCACAAGCGCAAGGACCCGAGTTCGATCGCCGGTACCAAAAAAAAAGCATAAAGTCTTACCTGTCAAGTCAATATGCAATTTGCCAATGTCTTTAGCAATATTGAACTGCTCTTTCGCTTTTTTATATTCATAATAATATAAATATATATATGCACATTCCAGATGGAATTGAATCACCAAATATCGACCCGAATCATCTGCAAACAGATTCTCTAGTTTCAACACTACAAAACAAAAAATGAAACATTAAAAACTACAATAAGTAAAACATTGAGTCTAAAATATTAGACTATATATTATATACTTCAGCTTTTAATTTGTCTCTGTAAATACCTGAAATGAAAAAATGGGAGAATAACATTCTAGTAACATTGCATCTGAAATAAAATGATTGTTAAAATTTGTTATACAGAATAAATGAACTAGTACTATGACACACACCAGGTTACAAGGGAGTCTAACTGGCCCCCAAAACAGAATTCCCAAAACAATATCCCTCAAACAGCCACCCTTCACATTATTTTCAGTAACAGGTTAGTCACTTCACAAAACATGAATGAACAATGAAAAAGGGAAAATGTACTTCCAATACCCAAAGACTGATGATAATTTTTCCATCATTCAAGGTAAAAGAAAAGTTATATTTACTAAATCTCTACTCTGCCTAGCACTGGATATTTTAAATGCTGTTATTTGATTTTCACAATAATGCCTTTGAGGGCCAGGGATTTAACTCAGTGGTTCTGCCGCCTGCCTCACAAGCGCAAGGTCCAGAGTTCAATCCTCCGTACCAAAAAAAAAAATGCCTTTGAGGCTAACATTATCACCATTTGAGGCATTATGAAACTGAGCTCAGGGCCGGTGATTTAGTTCAGTGGTTCCACCACCTGCCTCAAAAGCACAAGGTCCCAAGTTCGATGCCCAGTACCAAAAAAAAAAAGGGGATAACACAAAAACTTAGTCTATCACCGGATAATCTGGCCATACTAATACATTTACAGTGAGAAACAAATATCCCTCCTCTGTTTCACCAGGCACTGAAATTACAATGGGTCTGAAAAACAAAATGGTGTTTTTCTATATTCTGTCAGCCCTTCAAAGAGATTCTCAGGACTTGAAGCGAGTAAGTCAAGATGTCCGTGCCTCACCTCCTAAGGCACACAGGTGTCCAAACATGAACTTCTCACTGTGAAAACCCCAAGTAGATATCATTCATGCAAACCAAACTCAGGAAAAGCTGGACCTGACAACATTCAGTGATTTTAGTGAGGCCTTCTTTTGTAAACTTTGTTTTCCTTTATTCTATTACTGAACATCTAGTCATTATTGTCAGAAATATAAGAACCTTCCAAGATCTTAGCAGAATTTATAAGTAACAAAATTTTGCTTTGTGTCAATGACAGTAATTTTCCCAAAAGGATCAGGATGCATAAATCAAAGGATATGAAGGTTGGCCAAGATTTGTTCAAAATCCTCTCCCGCACCCGGGGATTTTGCTCAGTGGTGCTGCCTCCTGCCTCGCAAGTGCAAAGTCCTGAGTTTGATCCCCAGTACCAAAAAAAAAAAAAGCTTCTGCACAGTAAAATCCTCTCTCAAGATGGCCATGGTGTTGCCTGCCTATAATCCAAGCACTCTTGGAGGCTGAGACAGGACAATCATGAGTTCAAGCCCAGTCTGGGGAACTTAGCAACTTAGATACTGTCTCAAAATTTTTCAAAAAATTGTAATGTTTAAATTCTCTCTCAAATATCACAAAAGGTCATTTCTGCATTTACCTCTCACAGGTCTAAAGAAGGCTATCAAATTTGAACTGTCCTACTGACACACAAAATAAGTCACATAAATGCCTGAAGTTGGCTACATGTATTTCTCTTCCTTTCTTCCTACCTACTTACCTAACCTCCTATCTATCTATACATGTATGTACAGGATATACTATAGGTAAAATTGGCTTTGATCTTGTACTTCTGGCCTTTCTCTGTATGTTAATGTGTTTAGGGGTTAAATACTGAAGATAAGTAAAGTATGAAAAGAGATCCTGATTTTATTTTAAACTTAATTCTTAGTTTCCAGCAGCATGGCCAATTGCCCTCTTACTAAAAACATCTAAAAAGCAGAATTTAAAATTTTAAATATATTTTTATTTTCATGGTTGTATGGGAACAAAATAATCAATCTTCAGAGAACAAAACTAAATGAAAGCTGCAACGTTAGGAAGTAAGCAAGCAATGAAGCCATACTCTTTCTCAAAGCTATCCAACAGACTCTAGGGACTTTATAATTCCATTCTATCAGCTGCGGAGAGCACCAAACACAACAGATGAGGCCCAGACCCATCCGAAGTAGGCAGTTTAGCAGATCTCCATCTAAGGCTGAGAACCACAGAACGTCTTCAAGGTTAAAATAAAGCTATGTGTGCCATATAAAGGGGAAAAAGGCAGCGTGGGTGAAGTGGAAAAGATTCATCCACAGAATTGATAACCTTAGGCTAGCCTTCACACAGATCTCTAAATCAGATCCAGGCAATCTACATAGTTAGTTCAAAGTCTCTCAAACCTAGAATACACTCCCCGGAAAAATCCAAGAAACAAATCCCCTTCTAAAAGAATGCAACTTTAATCAAGATTCAAAGAATTTCTATTGATAAATTTTCAAAAAACAAGAGTACATAGGGGGAAAAAAAGGCACAGAACATAGAAAATAAGGTACTAATACCTGAAAGTTAGCAGAAAAAAAAGGCAGAAATAGGTCCTCAGAACTTTTAGAGGCTGGAACCCATCTGGGACCCCTCCTGTCTCCCCGGAACTTTTCTTATTCCCCATTCCTATTCCCCCAATAAATTTTCCTACTCTAAAAAAACAAACCAAACAAACAAAACTTTAAGAGGCTGAAATGACCTGGTACAGTGTATGAGATGTTTAATAGGCTTAGGAAATAAAAAGTTTAAAATATGAACAAGGAATAAAGAACTACAGAAATTGAGCAAATATACCAGAGAAGTAACCAAAAAAAAAATCCCTAAATTTCTTAAATTAAAATTTAAAAACAAATTCGCAGAGGGGCTGGGGATCTAGCTCAGTGGCACTGCACCTGCCTTGCAAGCCCAAGGTCCTGAGTTCAATCCCTGGTACAGAAAAAAAGAAAAGCAGAATAGAGAACTAGAAGACAGATTCAACTGAAGTTAAGCAAAAAGTAACACAAAGAGAAAGAAAACAAAAGTATCAAACAATCTTGAGGATGCAGATGAGAAAATCTGACATGTATGAAAATGTAGGAGAAATCAAACAACTAAAAAGAGACTATGTCTGAAAAGATAATAGCTAAGAACTTTCCAGAAAGGTGGGAAGACACCAAATATCAGAATTCAAATTAAGACCCATAAATACAAAGAGAAAATCTTAGAAACAGCAATAGACTACTCACAAAGGAAGAACTATTAGAACTATTAGAACATTTTGAATGCTAACAATGACAACTGTTATGGCTTATATCTAGGTGTCCCCAAAAGCCTCAGGCAGTTATCGGTGGGGCTTTTCAGAGGTGGCTGGATCTACAGTGTGTGATGCTATGATTAAGAATGTGATGCTGGAGCTACAGAAATTTGACCAAGTGTGGAAACTCAAAATCTAGTTTTAATTTTCAAGAAATCCAGATCGATTGTGAACTACTATTAACGGTTTCAAATGTTGGTGGGAACAAGACGCCCCACTTTATTGGTTTCATGATTCTAAGTCGTGAGAGAAGCTAAGCCAGTCCCAGCACCCAGAAGGAAGCTCCCCCGCTGCCATCCCATGCTCCCAGGGCAGAGAAGCTGAGCCAGTTCCAGCACCCAGAAGAAGCTCCCCCACCAATTCTAGAGTTGCATACCTTTCCTTGTGCTGTACTGGCTATTTATCATCTTATCTCTACTTTTTAATTGGGTTGTCTATTAATGAGCTGTGAGTTCTTTATATATTCTGGTCATAGGTTATATGCATTGTAAATATGGTCTGTTTAAGGACTACTTTTCATTT